GCAACCCCCGCCACTGCCCTGCCAGCGCCGGGGTTGAATGCTCTGCTCCGCCCCGCTACGCAGAATCCCAGGAGACGGACGACAATGCCCAACAACACCAAGCTGCCCTACACTCACCCTCGCAGCTGCGCAGCATTCTCCGCAACTCGCCTCTCCCGCCGCTCAGCACCCTGTCTCCTGAATCCCCCAGGCGACAGTCTCTCCGGCTACAGGAAAAGGCGCTGCGCCGGGTGGCGTACAACAGCCCCCTGACGCAAGAAATCACAACCAGCCGATATATCAAATCTCATATTGACCTTCTCGCCGAGGACGCTACGCCCATCTCGCCCTCGGTCGCGTCTTCGGACGACGGCGACAGCCTCCTCGACCAGGCCATGACCGACGCGGCCAGCACGCGCGACGGAGGCCAGACGCCCGGGCCGTTTGAGGAGATGCGGCGGCGCATGGCCAACATGCACGCCTCCACGCCGCTGGCGCTCTCACCGACGGGGGGTGGCATCCGCAAGAGGGGCGGCAAGCGCAAGGAGAAGAAGCGGCGGTGGGTGTGGACCATCGGGCAGGACGAGGATGCCGAGGAGGGCGGCGAGGCCGTGGACGCCGAACCGGTGACGGCCAAGACAGACCCCCCCGCCTCGGTGCCCGTCCTCGCTGTTCCCGCCCCGCGGCCACGGACACGAAACCAGCAGGCGCTCGCCAAAGCAGTCGCTGCAGCAACCCTGGCACAGGAACAGGCGCAGACGCAGACGCAGACGCAGACGCAGACGCAGAATCAGACGCCGACGCAAGTACCCCTCCTCGCGATCCCGGTCCCACCCGCCCGCGCCGCAACGAAAATTCCTCCCCTCCAACCCCCCGCACCGGCCCAAACTGTGCCGCAACCCACGCCGCAACCCCAATCCCAACCTCCACCACCCCAACAACAACAACAACAACACCAGCCCCTCCAGCAACAACAAACCCGCGAACTCACCCCCATCCCAGCCTCCCTCCTCCCCACCCGTCACTCCACCCCCGACTCCCTCTCATCCGCCCCGTCGTCCTGCGCCAACAGCGTCCGCCACCTGACCCCCGAGCCCTTGGGCATGGGCATGGGTATGAGTCTAGGCATGAACCTGAACCTGGACATGGGCTCAAACCCCGGCATGTCGCCGCCGCTGGGCGGGATGGTGGTGGTCGAGCCGCCGACGCCGAGCATGGAGTCGACGACGAGTGTAGGCAGTAGCCTGCATAGTCGCGATGAAGCGGATGTGGAGATGTCGGATGCGAGTAGTTTTACGTCGGTGGAGGCGGATGAGGATTATGAGGAGGGGGATGGTGAGGGAAGGGGGAAGGGGAAGAAGGGGGGGTTTGGGCTGGGCTTGGGACTGTATACTACTGGTGCTGCTGTGCACGGCGGTGTGGTGACGGGGGATGGGGATGTCGAGATGGATGAGGGCACGCCCACTATGACGGCCAGGCCGATTGGGGAGAGGGGCGGGAGGGGGTGGGTGCCGTGGGGGGATGTTGTTTCTTCTTCTTCTTGAAGGGGTGTTTGGTTGGGGGGGTCTAAAGGGAGGGCATCATGAATGACGGGATGGGATACAGGATAGCGAGCATTGCTCTTGATACCGGTGGTATTTTGTACTTGTTTATGAGCTGGATGAGGGATGAGGCTATGAGGGATGTATGTGGTGGGATGAGGATCTATGTATGTATAACCGACTGTCGGGGACGGTCTGGGAAGTAGGGTTAGGGAAAATACTGTAAATATCAACAAAAAGAATAAAGTTAAACAATAACATTTTGCGGCCCCCGATTTCATAGTGCCTAGGAGCTGAGATGGACTTTCCCCATATCAAGACCGCCATATTTACCACGCCCCTAAAATTTCATCTACCCACTCACTCAATGTGTTAACTCGGGTATTTAGACTGCCGAGCTCGGCGAACACATAATAATCCAAGAAAACTAACATGCTTTGGTCTTCTTTTACCTTCAGTAAATTATAATTTTTAGGCATAAGCTAAAGACATGACGCCCACAACGACGCCCATTTGACCCTCTAGGAAGCTAACTATTTTACAAGACTGCGCACCATGAATCAGATCGTGAGCTGCACCTCCTTAGCAGTTCGTACCCGCTCGTGCCACGGCAATAATGACAAGTCGTCAACCATCCCTTCTCCACCACAATTGGTTATTTACATTCGTCGTGTAGTGTAAACACCCCATGTTTCCTGTTACAGGTCATGCCCAGGACTTTCCATCCCCTCACTTCTCTCAAAATAGCAGCAGCAGTTCCACAGCGGCTACCGACCGTGTCTCGACGCTCTCACCACCAAGACCCCATCCACCAACCAATTCCATCTCGCACACACGAAACACCCGTAACCGAGTGCTGCTGTAACCTGACTGCCTGGTCCCATGTGTGTGTTAAGCGCCGGCCCGAACAGTCGGCCCATTACGTCATCCCGGGAACCCCACCCGCCGGGCCCGCAACCGCAACCGGGAAAGTGGGGCTGACACACACCACATCGACGTCATCGATCGTGCTTGTGCCATTGAGGTGTCAGTGATGCGCCATTGATGCTTGACAAGAACCCTGGAATCATAGCCAGATTTTCGATCTGAGGGTTGGCGGATCGGCTTGCTGTTTTATGTCATTGGGGGGTATGGCTGGTGTTTTTCAGCTGAGCTGTTGCTCGATCCGGGATATTGGGAGAGCTACGTAATATGTATGCGTAGTACACTACATCGAGACAGCTTTGTGCTTGAGTTACGGTGATCATCATCATTGGTATTTGATGGCCTGATATAACTGGCAACTGCCTTCCCACTGCTACCGTAATCTGCTCCCTACACACCCTACGGGACCACCCAACGTGATCCATCTTGGACCTTCAGAGTCTTAACATTAGGTACTCTGTCAAAGTCATCAAAGGCCTAATTAACAACTACTTGCCTACTTACCTGCCTGCCCCTTGAAGGCCGGCCTGGGCCCTACCACCACCACATGAGACCCCCGATGACACTTACCCACTAACACACACCCACCACCACCATGAACACCGACGAAAAAGTCTACCCCTCGGGGCAGCACTACTCCGGCAGCAACCGCATCCCGAACATCAAGCAGTTTGTCGAGTCGCTCGACCGGGAAAAGCGGGAGCGCGACGCCCAGATCGACTCCCAACAACAACAACAACAACAACAACAACAACAACAACAACGACACCAACCAACCAAAGGCGGCGGCCACGATGACAATGGCGAGGTCAGGGACCACGTGCCGACAAACCACCGCAAGGCCGGCAAGAACCGGCGCACGGTGCGCGACCCCATGACAGGCAAGGACGTCGAGATCGAGGACATTAGCAGCGAGCATATGAAGGCGGCCGAGGAGCCCATGGTGCGTTTTGCCAACCACCCCCCCTCTACCACCCCCTAACCACCACCACCATACCACCTTAGCCCCAACCCCAATCCCCAACCCCCCTTCCTCAAACAGCAGGTATGTACATACCCAAGTTAGCTAACACATCTCTTCCCCCGCACCAGCTCACAATCCCCAACGCGAACCTCTCCCTCCCCACCACCCAACAAACCCTCCCCACGCAATCCGGCGAAACCTACCGCCACGCGCAAGACATCACGGCGCCCCCGGACCCCATCGCCGCAGGTTCCACCTCGGACGTGCCCATCCACGGCGAAAAGACCAACGTTCTCTTCCACCCCACCCCCGCCGTCAGCTACGAGCCCATGTACGCGGCGCTCGAGGCGCGCGCCAACGCGCTCTGCGCGGGGCTGTTCGTGGGCGTGGTGGTGCTGGGGAAGTGGTGGGGGGGTGGGAGTGTGTGGGGGCTGGTGCCGTTGGGGGCTGGGGTTGCGGCGGGGGTGTACATGTGGGTGCGGGATTTGGTGGCGAGGGGGAGGGCGGTGGAGTGGAGTGCGGAGAGGAAGAGGGGGGAGATGGCGGTGGTGAATCTGATTCCCGAGAGTGTGGAGTGGTTGAATACGGCGGTGGGGTTGGTGTGGGGGTTGATGAATCCCGATATGTTCGCGGCGGTGGCGGATACGTTGGAGGATGTCATGCAGGCGAGTGTGCCGGGCGTGATTGAGCATGTGAAGGTGAATGAGATTTCGCAGGGGAGTAATCCGCTGAGGGTGTTGAGTTTGCGGGCGCTGCCGGATGGGCATGTGCAGGATCTGAAGGAGGAGATTCATAGGAGGGATTCCAAGGTGAAGGATCCGCAGCAGTTGGCGGCCGAGGAGGAGGGGGGTGATTTTTACAACCTCGAGGCTACCGTGGCGTACCACTCGCTGCCGTCGTCGGGGGATGTGTCGTCCAAGGCGAAGAACATGGGCATGCAGCTGGTCTTCTACCTGGGCGTCCGGGGTCTGTTCGGGGTGCCGCTCCCCATCTGGGTCGAGCTGAACCGGCTGGTGGCGACGGCGCGGCTGCGGGTGGCGCTCGCGCCGGACCCGCCGTTCGTCAAGACGCTCAGCTTCACGCTGATGGGCCTGCCCAAGGTAGAGGCCAGCTGCGTGCCGCTGGTGGAGCGGGGCGCCAACATCCTCAACCTGCCGCTCATCTCCAACTTTGTCAACTGGGCCATCGCGGCGGCGGCCAACATGTACGTGGCGCCCAAGTCGATGACGCTCGACGTGGGCAAGATGCTGCAGGGCGACGACATCAAGAAGGAGACCAACGCGCTCGGCGTGCTCTTCATCCGCATCCACAAAGCCGTCGGGCTCAGCAAGCAGGACCGGCGCGGCAGCGAGGGCGGCGGGTCGGACCCGTACATCTGCGTGTCCTTCTCCAAGTTCGGCAAGCCGCAGTACTGCACGCGCGTGATCCAGGACGACCTCAACCCCATCTTCTCTGAGTGCTGCGCGCTGCCCATCACGGCCGACGTCATCAAGGCCGACGAGCAGCTGTCGCTCGAGCTGTGGGACAGCGACCGGTCGTCGGCCGACGACGTGGTCGGCAAGGTCGAGCTGAGCATCCAGAAGCTGATCCAGCATCCGGGCCACATGTTCCCGCAGACGTCGCAACTGAAAGGCGTCAAGGCCGGCAGCACCATGCCGGGCGAGCTGCACTGGGAGGTGGGCTACTTTGGCAAGACGCAGTTCCGGCGGGCGCTGCGCACCGACGGGCTCGACCCCAACCTGCCGCGCGGGCTGCGCGACAAGAAGGAGCTGCGCGACGACCGCGGCAGCCTGGACACGGCCGAGGAGGACGCCGTGGTGCACACGCCGCCGGACCCGCTCTGGCCGAGCGGGGTGCTGAGCGTGGTGGTGCACCAGATCGTCAACCTCGAGCTCGAGAACGTCAAGGGGTCGCGGGGCGGCAAGCGCAGCGGCGGGCGCGAGTACGAGCCGGCGCGGCCCGAGGCCGGCGAGATCAAGGAGGAGCAAGGCAAGAAGCTGCCGAGCGCGTACTGCACGGTGCTGGTCAACGACGAGCTCGTGTACAAGACGCGCACCAAGGTGGTGTCGTCGCGGCCCATCTTCGAGGCCGGCACGGAGCGCTTCGTGCGCGACTGGCGGTCGTGCGTGGTGACGGTGACGGTGCGCGACTCGCGCAACCGCCAGCACGACCCCATCATCGGCGTCGTCCCGCTGCGCCTGTCCGACATCCTGCAGACCAGCAGCCAGAGCACGCGCTGGTACCCGCTCGACGGCGGCATCGGCTTCGGGCGCATCCGCATCAGCCTTCTGTTCCGCTCCGTTGAGCTGCGCCTGCCGCCCGCCCAGCTCGGCTTCGGCGAGGTCGGCACCTTTGAATTTACCTCGGACGCCCTGACCACGACGGGGTACAGTCCCTCGCCGCACACCAAGATTCGCATGCGCACGGGGGGCAGCTCCGCCTCGGTCAAGGGCAACGTGTGTTCCCGCCGTACCGACGACGAAACCGGCCTAACCTGGGACATCAGCGGCGGCGGCGACGCCTCCAACGACGAGCACGCGGACGAGCAGCAGCAGCAGCAGCAGCAACACCATAAAAAGAAGCCCAAGCACAACAAATCCACGCGCATCCGGCTCCCCGTCCGCTTCCGTTACCGCTCCCCCGTCTTCTTCGAGTTCCACCCGCCCTCCAACACCGGCCTCCGCCGCAAAGCCGACACCTTCGCCTCTCTCTGGCTCCAAGACATCCCCGACAACGAGGAGCAGGACTTCGACCTCCCCGTGTGGCGGTGCAGCAACGGGCTCCGCCTCTCGCAGAACTACATCACCGAAGCCAACGTCAACTCGGTGCCCGCGCTGCGCGTGGAGGAGGTCGGCCGCCTGCGCTTCCGCGGCCGCTTCAAGCCCGGCACCGACCGCGACCACCTGCGGTTTGTGAGTGACAACGACTCGCGCGAGACGATCGAGACGTGGGAGGCGTGCTTTGCGGAGGGGGTGCGCGCGGAGCATGTCCACCCCGAGGTGCCGCCGGCGGTGCAGAAGCTGCATGAGGAGAGTCTGACGCATGGGAGGGATGTGCTGGCGATGGCGCCCGAGGAGGAGAAGAAGCGGTGGTTGGCGAAGGATGGGACGGATTGGAGCGGGGCGTTTGGCGAGGATCCGGCGAAGTTGGTGGGGGAGGAGAGGAGGGGGGAGGGGGAGGGGGAGGGTGAGGTCGATGGGGAGCAGCTGTCGGAGGAGGAGGACAGCAGTGAGGAAGAGGAAGAGGAGGAGGTGGATTTGGGTATTGATGATGCCACGCACGATAAGGGAAAGGGGCGAGCGAGCGTGGGAAGCAGTGAGGAGGGCGAAGGGGGTAACGGTAACTATACCTGGAAGGGAGGCGAGGATGGCCCCAACGGCCCTGACGGTCACTCGCGCAAGTCCATGGATAGCGGCGCCACGGGAGCCACCGGGGCGACCAGCAAGTCGAACAAGTCGGGCGGGTCGAGCAGCAGCAAGAACCCGATCGCGCAGTACAAGGACTACCGCAGCCGCAGTCGGGACCTGCACCGGAAGCACCGTGGATTGATGCAATGGTAAGTTTGGCTTTGGTTATTCCAACAAGTTACCTAAATCGCTTGATGCTAACTCGGGCAGGAAAACCCATGCGCAACGTCCAGTTCGCCAAAGACGAGGCCGTCTACGCCACTCGGCGGTTGATGAAGGTCGGCAGTCTGAGCGGGCGGAAACCTGATGTCGAGACCGAGGTTTGAGGTCTGAAGTCTTGAGTTGAGAGCAAAATGAAGATGGGAAGAAAAGAATTATGAAAAGAAATAGGAAACGAAATGGATGAGCCATGTTTTCTTTGTATTGATTGAGTGTGTTTTGGTGTTTGGGTTGGCGACGCAATGAAGAGAGATAGATATATGGAAATCATATCTATAAAGTCAGCTAGTATTCCTCACGTCTTACGCTCTTACATGCCGTCAATAACCAGGTAGTCGGTCTCCTGATTTTGGTGTTCTTCTCCAGTTGTCGTCTTCAACCTTGTGATGATGGGTGATTTGGGGCGTCCACTGGAGAACACCTAACCCCCACGCTAAACGCGCACCCCACTATAATAACCCAACTGCCATAATTCCTTCCAGTGGGTAGGTGGTCTGTGCACACTGCTGTAAATATTGAGACGCGCCTGTGAAGAAAGCGAGCCTGCATCATCATCAAAAATCAAGATTTCAACATCAAGTCCCATAATCCAATCCCATTCGCCATACACGTCAGTCAAGCCCAACAACCCTCAACCCTCAATTAGCGACTGGTACCACCCCCGGCAATAAACCAGACATGGCCCGGGCGTATTTCTCACCCTACGCCCCCCGGCGACGGCGTTCTCCCCAGGTCGTGGTGGTCTGGGTCTCCATGTTCGCCTTCATCCTCTGGTTGACCTGGTACATCACGACTCGCCACAAGGAGTATGCCGACGAGTTTATGCACCCTAGGGAGCATGGCCAGGGGCCAGTACGGTGCCGGGGATGACGAATGAACGAAAAAACGAATGGACGTGGAAGCAGTCGACAACCTGTTTGGGCGGCGGTCACCCGGCATGCGGCATGTCTGCTGGGCTCCATGAGATTCAGAGAGTCAAGGCTGCCATAACGAAACAACAACAAGCTGGGTCGTCTCGGAGGTAGCTGGGAAAGGGAGCTTAGTTGCTCATAATCATTGTAACACCACGCCGGGGATATTGCCTTGCGGCATCAGTGATATCTAAGTTGAAGCAGCGGCAGCACACCGCCTTCTCTAAGCGGCCGGATGTCAACATCAGGGGGAAACCCGAAGAGAGGAGTAATACAAGAAGCAAACATAATATTTATCTCGATCTCGTCTGATCTATTACACGGGCACTTCCTGCTGGATATTTTGTGGTTCATACCTAGCTTTGGGTGAGAATGAGCCCAGAACCCACCGTGTTAAAATGACGCATTCTGGCACTGTACCTAATTTATAGTCGCCTGTCTGTCACCCCACTCACTCTTGTCATCCTCTTCTCAACATATATAACTCTCGTGTTTCCTCATCATGGACCCCTGACGCTTTTTGACTAAGATACACACAACTAGACCCTCCCTTCCTGGCAGCAACCATGGACCAGATACGCACCATCATCATCGGCATCAGCGGGTGCTCCTCGAGCGGCAAGACCACCCTCGCGAGGCTTCTGCGGGACATGTTCCCGGACACCTTTATTCTCCACGAGGACGACTTTTACAAGCCTGAGTCCGAGTGAGTTTTTCATGGTTTTTGTCATGAACTATCCTACGTACTTGCTGGTTAACTCGCTTCTAGGCTCCCCATCAACCAAGGCCACGCCGACTGGGACTGCCCCGAGGCCATTTCCATCCCCGACCTAGAGGCTGCTCTCGCCCACGTCCGCGCAACGGGCACATTCCCAGTGAGTAGCCGTGTGCCCAGTGCCATCTCACCCAACAACACCCTCTCCCGCCGCAGCAACCACGGCTGTGCCCCTCTCACCTCCCCTACCCCATTGTCACCCCCCTGTCCCGCTATCCTCACCCCTACCCCCATCACAACCATCTTCCACAAAAACTACAACAACTTCCAGACCTCCTCACATGCCGGCTTCCTGTTCACCCTCCGCACAGCCCAACGTCAACTCCATTGAAGACCTCAACACCGTCGGCCCCTGCCCCGCCACCCCCGAGCAAATTGCCGCCTGCGCCGCCCGCGTCAAAACCTGGCTCGCCCCAGGCCATCCCGGCTCCTCCATCTTCTCCTCCAGCAGCAGCAGCAACAACACCCCCAAAACCCGCATCTGCATCCTCGACGGCTTCCTCCTCTACTCGTCACCCCCACCCCCTTCCTCTAACACCACTACCACCACCAACCCCCCTCCACCCAGTCCCCTCCGCCCAGTCATGGCCCACTCTCGACATCAAGCTCTTCCTGCGTGCGAGCCGCGCTGCCGCCCTGCGCCGCCGCACCGCCCGCGACGGCTACGTGCACATGGACGGCTTCTGGAAGGACCCGCCCGGCTACGTCGAGCAGGTCGTGTGGCCCAACTACGTGGCCGCGCATAGGTGGTTGTTTGAGGGGGGGGGATGTGGAGGGGGGCAGGTTGGATGGCGGGGTGTTGAGGGGGGGAGGGAATTTTGGTGCCGGGGGTTGGAGTCGGAGTCGGAGTCTGGGGTCTGTTGGGGGTGAGGGTGCGGGTGCGGGGGGATGTGGAGTTTGGGGAGGGGTGGTGGACTGGGCGGTGGGGGTGGGTCATGGGGGGAGTTGGAGAGGCTTTTGTTTGGGGGGAGGGGGAGGGAGGGGAAGGGAAAAGGGGGAGTAGGGGGTGCAGATGGGAGTGAGGGATTGATTGAGGGGAATGGTGGGGTGGGAAATAAGCATTACAATGAGAGTATGCAGAGGCTGTGGCCGGAGGTAACTCACGGAAATAATGTAGACATGAGAAGCGAGAGTAGACTTTTTGATTTAGGCCTTGTCAGAAATGAAGGAAGGTGTCCGTACACTGATCTTCCCTTTTGTAGTTCAGTCCCTATACAGGTAAAAGAAAGAAAGCATCACTCCAAGCTAACCCTCTCATACTAGCCCAGATCACAATACACCCCAATCTCCTCCCCTCCCCCTCCACTATCGCACCCTACCCAACAACACACCCCCACCATCACCATTACTTACCGCCAGCTCCCCTCAACCTTCTGCGCCGAGCAGCCACTCAGCGGCCTTAGTCTCCGCCTTGACCGTAAACCCCCTATTCGGATCCGACTCCCACTGCACCGCACCATCCGCACCCACCTGACAAACTTAAACTGCACCGCCGTCCCCGCCGCCATGGGCACGGTGATACTCCACAGCGGATTCGTAGCCGTATACCCCGACGCAGACATCTTAACCGCCTTCTTGAGATCCCACGCACCCAGCGCCGGCACATTGCCCACCACTTTCACCGACTGCCCCCACTCGGTAGTCACCCGCCCGCTAAACGTGACAAACACGTTCGCGGCATCGGCGCACTGCTCCGGGAAGGGCACGGGGGCCGGCTCGGCGGCAGCGTTGGGGGTCTGGCCCGGGGGGAAGACCGTGTTGGTGGCCTGGGCGTAGGTTCCCGCGACCTGGACGCGCTCGCACGAGGAAGGCAGGGTGTTGGCGATCCTCGGCGGACCAGCCCGTGACGGGGACGATGCCGGCGCGGCGGTCGGCCGCCGAGAGGAAGGCCGCGTACGACCAGGTCAGGTCCGCGGCCGAGAGGGGCGCGCCCGTGTTGCGGTCGTATTGTTCGGCCAGGGAGCCGCCCGAGCCGGCGTACTTGGCCGCGATGTCGATGAAGCCGTCGGCGTAGGTGGATGCGGCGGTGATGATGGCGGCGTGCGTGGGGGAGGAGGTGGTGTAGGTGCCGGTGGTGATGGAGGGGACGAGGTCTTTGAAGAAGGGGAGGGAGAGTTGGGTGACGGTGATGGAGCCGTCTTTTTTCCAGACGTAGATGGCGTCGTAGATCTGTTCGGCGGCGGCGAAGTTGGCGAGGTACCACGGGTTGCCCTTGTAGTAGACGTCTTCGGTGTAGCGGCCGACGGCGACGGCTTTGCCCTGGGGGATGCCCGAGTTGATGCCGTATTCGGTTCGGAAGGAGTCGACGTAGACTTTGTGGTTGGAGAGCGCCTTCTCGCTGCAGGGCTGGAAGGTGTTGGAGTCGCAGCCCAGCCCGAGGGGTCGAAGTTGTGGATCGAGGTCAGAATCGAGTTGGCGTCCTTGCCCAGACCGGATACTCGCCGCCGTTGACTTGGGGCTATTAGTTGGGGGTGGCCTGGGTGGTGGTTGAGGGGGGGTGGGTGGGCTTACTGTTTAGAAACGACATAGCCACCGGAGGACTTCCAAAAGCTCTGTTGGAAGCACAGGACATGAGGAGCGGTAGTGAGGCAGGCACCGCATTCGGTACCAAGCTGAGCAGCGAGAGCAGCTCCCTCGACCAGAGCTGTGGTGTGTCAGTGCCATCCAAAATGTACTCGAAGGGAACACTAACCCCGATGAGAAGAGCCAATGGTGAAGAATGAGCTCCCAGGAACCTCCTCCCACAGATCAAAGCCCGTCTCATTCCTGGACGATGTCAGTGCCACCCAGGTTCTAGCCGGCTCAGGGGGACTCACCAGTACTGAGCGGTATAGGCAAGGTCGTTCTTGATCACGGGCCAGACGACATCCTTGGCCGTGTCCTTGTAGCCGTTGGTGATCAGCCACTTTGCGTAACGGGTGAGAGCAATAGCCCGGAGAGGCGGGCCGTCACGCTGCGGCCGGCCCCATTCACCAGTAAACTGTTTGAGGTCGACCATGAACTTGGGCTCGCCGAGGCCGGCCCCGTCGGAGAGGCCACCCGAGGGGTTCGAGACGCCCTGGAGCTTAGCCGTCGAGACAATAAAGTTTTGGATGGTGGTTTGCAAGGATGCCGAATAGTTGTGGGCAAAGGAATCCACGAGGCCCGTCATAACCAGGGCGGCGTCTCTGGTCCAGGTGTACCAGTCTGATGCGTTTTTAGTAAGCTGCCTAGTCTGTCTGATATGGCTAAGCGGCCACTTACAGTCAGGTTCAGACTTGGAGGGGCTGGCAATGACGGCGCCAGGGGCGGCTCCAGAAGCAGCACAGCCATTGGGGCCAATGTTGCAGAGCAGCTTGTTCCAGGCGATGGGCGTCTGGGTCTCGATGAACGAGTCGACGGAACGCTTGAGGATGGCACCCTCCCGCTTCGCGCGGAGAGCGGCCTCCGGACGGCCGAGGACCGTCTGGACGGCGCAGGTGCCGAGGACGAACAGTGACGAGAGAGCGTGCATGGCGGGCAAGACGAGGCCAGATGCGTTGACTGATGGGAGGAGGTGTTGCTGAAGTTGGACTACGAAGGTCGCCATAGCGAGTTGTTCTTATACTCTAGCCTCCTTGCGATGTCTATCACTATACCTCCTTACTCCATACGGATCTAACCGAGCCAAACCGGGGTGTAAGTCGCACCCCACGGGGGCTGATGCTTTGCATGCGGGGAAGGGCCGACAGAGCACTCAACGGCGCCTTGCGCTCGGTGCTACTCCGCGAGGTCCTATGCAGCTGCCGCGTTCTAGTGCAACGCTGTGGCTGTTCGACCCGGCCGTTGACGATGGTCTGCGGAACAGCGGCAAGGCGCTAGGGCTGTTCCTCGGAGTGTTCTTCGGGCTGTTACTCGGGGCTGTCAGGGGCATGGGTAGCGGAGGGATGTTGCTGGAAGAACATGGGTGGCGGAGTTGCTTTGATGTTCAGCTCGAATACATCATCCCGATCTCCATTAAGCGAGTCCATTGGACAGACACTGATGGGTTGCGGCGATCAGCTCGACCCGTGCTTAGCTGTGGGTATCACAGGCGCTACCGAACTTCCCCAGGAATCCAGACAACCCTCCACACCGCCCGATGATTTGCAGTGTGGGGGAAGGCGGAGGACAGGGGAGAGCAAATGCGACTTGGAGAAGCTCCATTGATTGGGCACTCGCGTAAAGTGAAGGATAATCACATGGAAAGCATTCGGCAATACCCGTACTCCGCAGCTCTATGAATAAGCTTCTGGTTCAAGTCGAGAGCGTAGGTAGGCGAGGTAGGATAACTCAAGCCCGCAGGGTGCTGTGTGACTGCGTATTCGTATCGTAGACTGGGGTCAAATAGATGGAAATAACGGTAAGACATGCTCTGGTTGGACAAACACCTTTCTTAGGTAATGTGAGGCCTAGCAGATTTGCGGCTGGTGTTTTCGGAGTATGGCTCTCAGTGACGTGACTTCTGTTCAATGAGCAACAACCCGGGAAACAACTCTCATCAGACGAGGGACTGCGCGAACTCGTGCCTGCCAAGGCTGGTGTAGTGCCGGCCCCGCAATTACATCGAGAATCGGGCCGTCGCTTGCTTGGAGAACCGGAGCTGCCCTTGCCGCCCCCCGCACCGGTAGTCAACACCAGAAATGGAAGCTCGCGACGGCGATGGCATCACCATCACATGCTTAGCGTGAACCTCAACCGAAATCAAGCGCGTCGGGAAATGCATTGGAGCCAGAGTCATAGCCATCGGCCCCCAAAAATAACCAGTCTAGAGTCTGTGGCCAGTGCTCATTCCACCGAGGAGCGCCGACCCGTAGAGGTCCTTCAACTTGGCTGCATCAACCAAGATAATTTATGGCGTGGATGGGGTCGACCATCTCGGCCCTTCTTTCTCACATTCGAAGCGAGGACCCAGCATCGGCGTCAACGGGGTCGCGTAACTCCATAGAGGCGATCTAGAGAAAGCAGAGCAACCCGGCCGAGCACGCAAGGTAACCAACTCATGAACTGAACTGGGCAAAGTAATCAAACCTCGTGGCACACACTGGTCACGCGAGCGAGCTAGCCGGGCTTGAAAAATCGAGCGTTGCAGAATGCAGAAATGTAGGACGTGCCATGGTTTTCCCCAGCCTCATAGACCGACGGTCTCAGCGAACGGCTTGGAATATAGCGTCTTGAACTCCGGCTCACCTCGCTCAAACCTTTTACAGCGAACGAGACTACCTCGAAGTTCGATCGATCTGGGATCTGTCGGGTGGAAATTGACATCATGAAGAGTAGATGGCTCCTTGGCTCACCGAACTGCCGCAGCAATCGACCCTGACCACCGAAGCGGCAGAGGATCGCTGGGCACAGATCCGTGAAGGAGGAAAAGAGAAGAAGAGGAAGAGCTCACCAAAATATTTTGCTAAATACTAGAAAATTTTGGAAAGTGGGGTCTCCAGCCTTGCAGCTGGCGCTGGGGCCTGGTCTGTGCCTCATTCGGTGCCTGCAACCAAAGCTTATCTTATCGTTTCGTTAGCCTTGCCTGGGAACCCAGACAACTTCCTTGGCCTTCAACTTCGCGCTGCGTCCCGCCAAACATCAGCCGATACGCCGTTTTCCTCAACGCCGCCACGCGCATACCATCAAGATGGACGCCGCGTCGATTGAGGAGCTCAACAAGGTCCGGCTGGCAATGGGCATGAAGCCCTTGCCGGTCCCGGGAGCAGCGCCACCACCCAAACAAGCAACTCCCGAAATCGAACTGGGCGACGACGGGAAAGCAGTCAGCACCCTCGATTCCCGCGAGGCCGCCTCCTACGAAAACTTCCGAAAAGCCCAGGAGGCCGAAGAAGCGAAGAAGAAACGCGAAGCGAAAGCAGCCGCCATCAAGAAGGCGCGCGAACTGGCGCAGCGCACAGCGGTTGTTGCAGGCAAAGGCTTGGCTGACGACGACGACGAAGAAGTGGACGTCAAGTCATGGCTGAAGAATCAGAAGAAGCGCCAGAAGAAGATTGATGCTGCGCGGAAGACGGGGGAGGAGAGAGCTGCGGCCGAAGCCGAAACTGCTGAGCACACAGCCGCAGACTTGGCCGGCGTTAAGGTTGCGCATGACATGGCCAACTTCCTCGACGGCGATAACCAAGTTCTTACTTTGAAAGATACGGGAGTGCTGGAGAACGAGGACGAAGGAGACGAACTCGAGAATCTCTCGTTGCGTGAACAGGAGAAGCTGCAGGAGAGACTTGACCTAAAAAAGAAGAGACCTGTTTACGACCCAAACGACGTCGACGAAACTGGCCAGATTGGCTTATTATCAAAGTATGACGAAGAGATTTACGGAAAGAAGAAGACAGCTTTCACCTTGAACTCGGCCACGACCACAACCGAACTGGCTGATATCTTGGCGGCTCCGGCTCAAAAGAGAAAACACCAGGTGGTAGACCTCGACGTACTTGGTCAGTTTTTCCAAATTGCATCGCAGGATACCGCGCCCGTACTAACTGGTGCCGTAGAAGATGCACCCGCACCCACGTCAGATTACCTCGATCTATCGGAAGTCAAGGTTAAGAAGCCCAAAAAGAAAAAGTCAAAATCAACACGGCGAAAGCGAGATGATGATGAGGATGCTTTGTTCCCCGGCGATACAGCGGACGGTGACGAGCCCACGCAAGACATGGACATTGACTCGGGTGCTGCCGTTTTCACTAAGAAGCGGAAGATAGTGGATGACAGTTTTGTGGACGACGAGGACTTGCAGGCAACCCTGGCGCTCCAAAGACGGGAAGCGCTGAAGAAGCGCAAGAAGACGCGACCGGAGGACATTGCAAGACAAGTTCGCGAATCAACCGAGAACCAGGAAGGTGAGAGTCAAGAAGACAAGGGTATCGTCATGGACGAGATCAGCCGATTTGTCGATGGCCTGCGCCATGAACCAGAGGAAGAGCGCAAGCCGCGCAAACCCAAACCCGAATCAGGAGTCACGGCCATGGAGCAGGATGAGTCCTCGGGGGACGAAGAAATGCACGACGTCGACCAACCCCGCGAAGCCACACCCATCGCTGAGGCCCCTACCACCGGCGTCGAAGAAGAAAAGACGGTTGGCCAGGGAATGGGTGCCACCCTCTCGCTGCTTCGCGACCGACAGCTCATCGAAGAAGGCAGGGGCGCCGAGATCAACGAGAAATTCCGCCAGCGGCAGCGCTTCCTCAACGAGCTGCACCGGCGCATGGACCTGTTCGACCAGGACACGCGCGCCCAGCGCGAGCGCGACCGCACCAGCGGCCGCCTCGACCGCATGTCGGCGCGCGAGAAGGAGGACTGGCAGCGCCAGCAGAACACGATGCGCGACCAGCACCAGTCGCGCGTCATGGACCAACTCTTCCGGGAAGGCTACCGCCCGGACGTCGAGCTCAAGTATGTGGACGGCGACGGCCGCAGCCTGGACGCGAAGGAGGCTTTCAAGGAGCTGTCCCACCAGTTCCACGGCAAGGGATCCGGCAAGGGCAAGACGGATAAGCGGCTGAAGAAGCTGGCTGAGGAGAAGCGGCGGATGACGCAGAGTATGCTGGATGCCAGCCAGAATGTGGGCATGAGCTCGGCGGCGTCGCACCAGACCAAGAAGAGGAGGGAGGCCGGTGTGAGGTTGGCTTAGGCATGGGGTTTCAAAGCGGGTGATCAATGGGTATTAACCAAGGTGCTTATACCCTCTGTCTCTGTTAATATATCGGTTTTGGTTTGTACTGACACGGTGTGTGGGCTTAGACGTCGGGTTGAGGTAAGGTGTAGAGGGAGAAGTCTGGGCCCGGCCCTGACCTCGAACTGGTGTCTTGTCGCTGCTGTGCTGTGATTCGTTGTCCTCCACCTTGGCATTGTTATATGACATGTCAGTGCACTGTAAACTGTCCATGTCTGCCGTTTGTTGTCATGCCCATATCGCGTGCCCATATCATCGGCCTGCTGACGAGGAGCTCGCTATGACACTTGGTTTCGTTAAGTCAAGCAGGATTCGTTGAATGAAGTGTCCAATCGCCCTGATTTAAAACTTGTCTTAGGCTATCGAAATTATAGGAAAAATAGGTTCATATTAAAGGAGAATATACATCTATAGGTACAAGTCCGAGGAAGTCAATAATTGCACCCCCTGGCGCAGCTGGAGGTGGGTCCGTCTTGAGTGGGTCTTTAATGCTATTGAATCGAGAGCTGCGTCGAACGCCGCAATGCAAACAACCAAATTCCATATCTCACCACGGAAACCAACAATCCCCCCCAGAACCATCCAACCCGCTCACCACTCCTCGACAAATTCCCAACCAACCTCTTCTTCTACCTACCACCCGCACAAAATCCCAACTACCACCTACAACCACCCACCTCCTAACTGCCGCCTACAACCACCCGCCTACCAACCACCCACCCACCAACCAAACCACCCACCATGTCCGAAACCACCTCCGCCATAATTGTCACCACCACCCTCATCGCCTTCGTCACGGGCTTCGGCCTCGGCGTCTACACCATCCGCGGCTCGCTGGTCTCGCCCGAGCTGGCCGCCGAGCGCGCCGCCAACCTGCACGACCCCATCGAGAGCGACGAGTCCGACGTCGACGAGGACGAGTCCCTGCTCGACCACGCCCCCAACTGGGCGAATGGGGCCGATGCGGATCGCAGGCAGGGGTTGAGGGTTCGTGCTGGTGGTGCTGGTGCTGGTGCTGGTGGATTGGAGGCGGCGGCGGGGGCGGGTGTGCGGTATGATGGGCAGGAGGAGTGTAAGATGGTGTTGGTGGTGAGGACGGATTTGGGGATGACCAAGGGTATGTTGTGATTTGCTCTTTTTTTTCTTGTTACTCTTCCCTCCTCCCCTCCTTTCAGCAGGACCCAACAAAACTAACACACCCCGCCCACCCCCAGGCAAAATCGCCGCGCAATGTTCACACGCAACCCTCGCCTGCTACAAGGCGCTCACGCGCGCGGCGCAGCAGGCGCCCGGCTCGGCCGAGGGGCGGATCCTGCGGGCGTGGGAGGGCGCGGGCCAGGCCAAGATCGCGGTGCAGGTCAAGAGCGAGGACGATCTGCTGGAGCTGATGGGCAAGGCGCGCAGCCTTGGCGTGACGGCGCGCGTCATCGCTGATCAGGGCCGCACCCAGATCGCCGCCGGCAGCAGGACCGTGCTGGGCGTCGGGCCCGCGCCTAAGAGCTTGGTGGATATGGTTACGGGGCATTTGAAGCTGCTGTAGGCTGGCTGTACTGGGTGGGCGCGGATAGTGGGATAACTATATGGGAGTTGGAGGGAACAAAACTACGGGTATGGACGGGCAAATAGACGGCGGGTGCATACTTCTGGGTGTTGGACCGGCGCCTCAAGTGTCTGGAGTTTGATTCGGCCTAGATCTTGCTTTGGGACTCAATTGTACGATTTCGCATGTGGGCGAAGGTGTCGCAACGTCAAATGGTCGCAACCAACTGGTCGGTGATATGGCATGTTCAGTTCACGCGCGATTCGAAATGTAGAACGAACCGTGGGCAAGACCTGGCAGCATCGCCAGCATGACCCACATGCTCTCATTAGGGTATCACTCTCTAGTCCTTCCTGGCGAACCGCGCCAGCGCCGGCCCCAGCTCGGCCTGCCGCTCCTTGTGCCTCTCGTCCTTCTTCTCCTGCATCTCCTTGTACATCTCCTCCGCCTTGAGCCTCTTCTCGTCGATAATATTCTTCTTGCGCTGCTTCCTCAGATACTTCTTCAACGCGCCGCTCTTGCCCCTGGCCCGGTGCCTCATCTCCTCCACAATGTCCACAGCGGGAGCGTCCAGGTCCCTGTCGGCCTTCCGCTGCTGCTCGGACCGCAGATCCAGGTTTCCAATATAGTTGGGGTCCAGCGCGATCATCTCGGGCTGCAGCTTGTTCAGCAAGCCCTTGACCTCGCCCTCCTGCCTCTGCTTCTTGGTCTCGAACGGGTTCACCTCGAGCGCATCGTAGTTGGCCTCGCCGGCGCCGGGGATCACGATAGACGAGAAACCCTCTGTGTGGCCGAGACCGAGCACGTCCTCGAACGGGCACCACCGGACTCGCTCGATCGCTTGGCCCTCTCCTCCCCACGTCATGTAGGGACTCTGGACCTTCTCTTGTACCGGCTTCTCTTTCGAGAATAGGCCCTTCCACACCGTCGCCTTGGTCCCCCACCCGACAGCCGTCAAGCCTGTGTCTGATATCGCGATGGAGGACGCTGGTGACCTTGTGAAATAGCTGGAAACCGCCTCCTTGAAGTTCCGGACGTCCCAGATAGCCATCCGGTTGTCCTGCCCTGCCGACACCATGTACCGCCCCTCGCGATCGACCGCGAGTGAACGGACTGGGCCTCGGTGGGCGAGGAGTTTGACCAGGGGGTCGGATGAGTTCGGTGACCACAGCGTAACCGTGCCGTTCTGTTGGCCCACATGTAAAATGGCGTTGTAGGGGTTGTGTGTAAGGGAGACGGGGGTTCCGAGCTTGGTCGGGATCTCGGTGACTATTTGACCGGTCGAGGTGTCCTGGTACTTTAATTGGCCACTGATACTCTGAAATCCGTTAGTTATGACCGGCCAACATCATTGTCGGGGCTGCTTACCAGTGTCGCCAGCAGGAAGTGATACGGGAGAAACTCCATGTGCGAGACTTCCACATGCTTCTTGAGGCAGTGAAGCTCGACACCGTTGGCGTCATAGATGTAAACGTACTTCTTCTGCGCCACAGCAAAGAATTGGTTGTTGTGCAGGAAGCGGGCATCCCGAACCGTCTCGCCCAGTTGCAGCTCGCAGCCCAGCTTGCCCTCCCGCCAGTCCATTGTCGCGATGTGACCTTTCCTCCCCGCCAGGATGAGATCCCGCCCATTCCTGCTGTACTCGCAGACATAGGGGCCCAATTCAGTCAGTTTCAACTCGAACTTTTTTTGTGCTACATCGATGCCGACCTCCTTCTGGATGTCATCTTGGCGAACCCTGTATGTCCGCTCGAGTTCTGTCTCGGTTTCGAGAAAGCCCGACGAGTTTTCAAGCAGAATCTCGGCCTCCTTCGCCTTCAAAGCCGCCGTTTTGTATTTGTTCTCGAGATTCGTGAGGTTGCGCCGCAGCTTTTTGTCCCTCACATTCTTGACATCGATTTGGCGGCCGCGGCCGTAGGCCTTCTGCGCCTGTCTGTGCCGGCGGACGCGTTCTAACTCGGCCTTGGAACGGAATTCGGTTCGGGCATTGTTGACAATAAGAGCCCCGTTGGGCTGCGCCACTCTTGTTAGAGGAGCATCGACGGTGTCGGTGGTATCCATCTTGTCGCAAGCCGATGGAAGGACGATCGTAGTACGGTTTTGCGGATTGGAATGGGAACGGCCGACATCTTCGAGGCATGCCGACATTTTTGAGCCGGGCCCACTAAAAAGTCTAAGTCCCTAGTTTTGATTGGTCGCACAATGAAAGATAAGATATGGCACACAGGTCAAAAAAAGGCAGAGATGCCCCGCCATCATTGCTCCCCGCTACCTGTATCTCAAGGCTCGTTTGGTGCTTTAGTCTGCTGTACCTTCTGCAATTCTGTTTATATTCTTGCCGAGAAAAAGTGGCGTCCCTTCCGTATCGTTTCAAAGCCGGCGGCGACGGAAAGATGCCGGGCGCAGTAGGCGGAGGCCATTCCCACCGGGCCACGACCAAGGTGTCGCACAAGGCATTCAAGTCAAGAAAGTCGACCAAAGGCCAAATGCGCGATGCTGCAAAAGGTATGACTCACGCCGAAGCTCTACATTTCCAGACAGGAATGTAGAAAGGGGGGTTGTAAAATGGAAGGAATGAATTGGAATCATTAAAAACTTTTCTGCTTTTTTACCTCCAGAGATTGGAACAGCAGCTGACCCTCTTCATCAGGGCGGACCGCAGGCGAAAAAGGATTGCGCAAGACACCACACCAGCAAGTCATGTCGAAACTTGACCGACGGAATCGGGCCAAGCAGCTCCAGCAGGAGAAGGCCCGCGAACATCAAAAGGAGGCCTCTGTTTTCGCCGGAAAAGATGGCGCCCCTCGACAAGTTGCCGTCATTCCCCTGTGCGCCGACACCGATGCCGCCGCGGCGATTCGCAGCATGAACCGTGGCGCTGATATAGAGGCCGAGATACACGGCACCTGCTTCCGCGTCCCGGTGGACAGATTCAAGCAGAAGCTACAGTACATCCCGCTGAAAAGAGACCTCACGGCATGCTTGGACGCCGCCCGAGTCGCCGACTTCGTCGTTATTGTTCTTTCGGCCGAAGTGGAGGTGGATGAATTGGGAGAATTGATCTTGCGGAGTGTCGAGAGCCAGGGCATGTCGACTTTGTTCACTGTTGTCCAGGGGCTACACAATATCGGACCCGCCAAGCAGAGACTCTCCGTTGTTTCCTCGCTCAAATCGTTCATCACACACTTTCACCCGGAGCAAGAAAAGATCTATAGTCTCGACAACGTCCAAGAATGCGCCAATCTTATGCGGTCATTATGCAGCACCACACCCAAGGGAATTCGGTGGAGGGAGGAGCGCAGCTGGATGCTTGTTGAGGACATTGAGTGGGCAAGGTCGGGAATGGCGCCCACTGTTCTGACCGGCGTAGTCAGGGGCAAGGGCTTGAATGCTGACCGGCTGGTACAAGTTGGTGAATGGGGTACATTCCAGATTGAGAAGATTACAGCGGCGCCACTTGTGACACGGAAAAAGAAGGGCGATGATGCCATGGTGGAGGAAGATATGGCAGAGGAGATACTTGGAGAGCCCACCGAAGACCAAGACGGTCTCGACGATCTAGCGCCGGAGGAGGCTACTATGGATGATGACGATGATATGGATGCAGCGACGACTATGACGACATCCAAAAAGGGGGTGCTTTTGGATGATCACCATTATTTCTCTGATGACGACCAAGTTCAGGAGCTACAAATGCCGAAGAGAGTCCCCAAGGGCACGTCGAAGTACCAGGCTGCGTGGTTTTTGGACAACGACGATGACGTTTCCGATTCTGGCTCCGACTTGGAAGACCATGACATGCAAGATGTCGAGGAAGGAGAGGACGAAGCACAACCAGAAGACGGGATGGAAGGCCTTGCAGGGGATGCCATGACAGAAGCTGGGCCGTCAGAGTACCCCCAGTCGGTAGCCTTCATCGAGCCCGACGAGGACGAGGATGCCAGGGCACTCGAGGCCTACCGCAAGAGCAAGAGGACAGAAGCCGAGGACGACCTAGAATTTCCCGATGAAATCGAACTTCATCCCGGCGTGCTTGCCCGGGAGCGGCTCGCCAAGTATAGAGGTCTCAAGAGTTTGAGGTCAAGCCCCTGGCTGGAGGACGAGGACCGTGCGTATGAGCCGGAGGAATGGCAGCGTCTGCTACGGATCCCCGATTATCAAGGTTCTCGTGTCCGGGCTGCTCGCGAGGCCTTGGTTGGCGGTGTGGCTCCTGGCACTCGTGTCCACGTCTACATCAAGGGAGTGCCAGTGGCAACCCAGAAAACCTACGACCCGAGCCGGCCAGTTACCCTCATCTCACTCCTTCGACACGAGCAGAAGCGGACGGCCGTCAACGTCCTGATCAATCTCAGCTCCGACTGCCCGAAGTCGCTGAAGGCGAAGGAGGAGCTGATCGTGCAATACGGTCCGCGGCGGTTTGTTATCAATCCCTTGTTCTCGCAAGGAGGCAGCACACCCAACGACGTCCACAAGTACTGCCGGTACCTGCACCCCGGCCAGTCCGCCGTGGCGACATTCATGGGCCCCGTCGCATGGGGCTCCATGCCGGTCCTCTTCTTCAAGCGGACCGCGGCCACCGCCGAGGACGACGAGGACGGCGAGGACGACGAGCACCCCACGCTGCCACTGACGCTGATTGCCACGGGCACCACGCTCCCGCCGTCGACATCGCGCGTGATTGCGAAGCGGGCCATCCTCACGGGCCACCCGTACCACATCCACAAGAAGATCGTCACCATCCGGTACATGTTCTTCAACCGGGAGGACGTCGAGTGGTTCAAGGCGCTGCCGCTGTGGACTCGGAGGGGGCGTGGCGGTTTCTTCAAGGAGGCGCTGGGTACGCACGGGTACTTCAAGGCGACCTTCGACGGGCGGATCAACCCGCAAGACTCGATCGGTGTAAGTCTGTACAAGCGGGTGTGGCCTCGCAACGCCCGGCCACTGGACGGGCTGCTGCTGGACCCGGCGCTGGTGCAGGAGGCCCAGGGGGATGCGATGGATGCGGAGTAAACGAAGATGCATAGCTATAGACCGCCCAAAAAGGGTTTATGACGGCGTTTGGGAATCATGATATATTACTTGCCGTTACTTGGTTTCCCTCTTTGACTTGGATAACGCCAACAATGGCAATTTTCTGCCCTTGATTATACAGCCTCACCTTGTTCATCCATCCGCCTCCTACGGATAACCGGTTCTTCAAGCAGACCCCTCAAGCGCTTCCAACCCGGGGGTCGGCTTGGGCCCGCCGACGGCCTTCCTCTGCTCCTCTGCACCGCTCGCTCTCCAAGCACTGAGAATCAAGTTCACAATATGCTCTACACCCACGCCCTTCTTGACCTGCGCGAACACAGTCGGCCCGCCCTCGCGCATCTTGCGCGCATCCCGCTCCATCACCCCCAAGTCGTCGCGCCCACAGCCTCCGCCAGATCCGTCTTATTCACCACCAACAAATCACTCTGGGTGATGCCCGGCCCACCCTTCCGGGGGACCTTGTCCCCGCCACTGACATCAATCACGTAAATAATATAATCGGCCAGCTCGCGCGAGTAGTTGGCGGCGAGGTTGTCGCCGCCGGACTCGATCAGCAGGAGGTCGGTGGCGAACTGGGCGTGCAGGTCCTCGAGCGCGGCCAGGTTGGTCGAGATGTCCTCGCGCACGGCCGCGTGCGGGCACCCGCCCGTCTCGATGGCGCGGATCCGCTCCGCGGGCAGCGCCCGGTGCCGCGTCAGGAACTCGGCGTCCTCCCGCGTGAAGATGTCGTTGGTCACCGCCGCCACCGAGTGGCTGGTCCGGAAAACGCGCGAGAGGGCGAGCATCAAGGCGGTTTTGCCGGATCCGACGGGGCTGGAGGAGGGGTGGGGTGAGTTAGCTACATAGTACAAAGTGGTGTGGTTGGGGGCGTAATGGTTGGAGCTAGAGGGTAAGCTGGAACGGAAACGGGACGGGGACGGAAAGGGAGGCGGGACGAAGAGGCGGTGAGGATGAATTGAAGGATAAGTAATGGAGAGGAGGGTAGATGAAAATGGTGGTAGAGAGAGGAGTCAAGTAAGACATACCCGCCAATGCCAACAGTGAAGGCTCGGTCGGCCCAGTTCCGGCCTTCAACAATTGGCATCTCACGGTTGAGGTAGCTGCCGGGCCCGTCGAGGATCTCATGACTGTGGCCGTGCTCAGCGGCGTTGAACTCGTGCGAGTGCTGGTGCACGCCATCGTGGGTGTGGGTTGCGGCAGACATTGCGGGGTTGCGTTGTGGTGGTGTAGTTCTCGATTGGTTTGTGTACTTTCTGTGCCACCTTGTCGAGTGACGTCCAGGATACAGGGTCTAGATGTTTACTGCTGAGTGGTTGCAACGCAAACTTTTGGGATTTTTATTCTAACTTGCTCGAGCGGTTGAGTGCGGTCAATATCCGATACCTCCGCCCCATCTCCACAGGAGGGGTAAATAATCGTTTTCCGTGTAAAGAAGCTGCTAGTGAGGGTTGGCGAGGGGTTGCGTGGGGGGTTATCATGGAGGTGACATCATATGCAGCATCAGATAACTAAGGTAAAACTCCTCCAAGCGGCTACTGTAGGCAGTGAGTTGGTTATTGCCGAACACCCTCCTGTTGTCCCTTCTCTTGTTGACACCTCCAACCCCGTACCTACGGGTACCTAATTGGCCTTCCTTCTTAATTTCTCCGTTCTCACCCATCTCACCCTCCTCACCTCCCTCACCTCCCTCACCTCCCCACAATCACTGCCAAGGCCGGAAATAGCAAGGTCGAGTTTCAGGCTGTCGTTGCCAGGCGCCCGTTGAATCCGTTCAAGCACATTCCCCATGAAGCTCACTGTCTTGGCAAACCTGTCAGGTGCGATGTTGCCGCTTGCTGTCGCAGGAACCTCGGCAGAAATGTGCTCATTTCGTGCTCCAACAATCCCCAATATTTCGGGCAAGCCCAATTGTGTCGTTGCATACAGTGGAAAATGCCCAACATTCTCTTTTGGCCCAACCCACCGACCCCCTGAAGCTCACTAGCTCTCTCTGGCTCTTCACATGGGGTTTTACGGCTCCGCATTCCAGATTTCGCATCTCGTCCCTTCGATGGAAACCCAACAAGGCAGCTTAGTGGCAAAGCCTTTTAAACTTGCGCAGTTTGGCCCGGATGGCGGGGGTCCAACAGAGTCCGACATGTCAACTCGGACTCGACGCGCGCCTATTGCGCACGTTTTTCGCCTGCAAGGGCGAGACAGGGGGCGGCAATGTCTGTGATGGACGACAGAAGCTCTTGGAAGCCTCGTTCGTGCCGCGGGCCAGTTGCTTCCGTTGGTGATGTTTTGGGCGATCTCGAGGCACAATTGTGACAGCCTCCAGAGAGAGACTCCGAACCGCCTCGGAGCTTGAGTTGCTCAGGGGCTGCTCGGAGGTTGTTCATGATGGATAGAAATACAGGCAACAAGCCCGGCATGGAGTTTTGTTCTATTCCCATCCTCCTCACCACCACCACCTAGTTCTCAGCCTTCTCTGTGGAGCTTGTTAATAGGAGAAGCCATTGTATCGTTGTTGTTGTTGTTGTTTACAACCCCTGAAACCCTCATCATGATGCCGGCCCTCCCCAGCGTCAAGCACCTTGCAAAAGGCTTGACCGTCCTGCTGGCCTCGCTATCCCTCGCCAACCCAGTCACAGCGGGAGCCCTACCTCCTCGCTCAGACTCCAAGAGCTGCGGGAATGGTATGTGCAATATTGCCAGAGCCATCCCTGAAACCAGCCACCAACCCCGTGCAGGCAACGATGCCGAACCCCCCCGCCGCATCGGCTTCCTCCTCCCGCGCGCCTTCGACATAATCGACATCTTCGGGCCCTTCGAGGTCTTCCAAGCCCTCTCCCGCAAGACCCACCTCGACATGTTCATGCTCGCGCGCACGCTCGAGCCGGTCAAGACGGAGCCCGTGGCCGCCTCCATGAACCAGTTCAACTCGTCCTTCTACCCGACCTTCAACCCCACCCACACCTTCGCCGACAACCCGCCCCTCGACGTGCTCGTCGTCCCCGGCGGCGCTGCCGCCCGCAGCCCCGACCTGGGCCCCGAGATCGAGTACATCAAGAAGGTGTTCTCCTCGCTCAAGTACTTCATCACCATCTGCACCGGCGCCGGCATCGCGGCGCAGTCGGGTGTGCTTGACGGCCACCGCGCGACCACCAACAAGGCCGCCTGGAACACTATGACCCCGATGGGGCCAAAGGTCAAGTGGTAAGTTATTATTATCTGCCGCACTGGCAAACTCGCAACGAGAAATCCCGGTTACTAACCGTACTCTCCAGGGTCTCACCTGCCCGGTGGGTTGAGGACGGCAAGGTGTGGAGTTCGTCGGGCGTCACGGCCGGCATTGATCTCGCGTTTGAGTTTGTGAGGCAAAAGTACGAGAACGGCAGTGCCATTGTCGAGTCCGTTTCTGGTAGCATTGAGCAACACTGTTATCACGGACTGGCGCGACGACCCCTGGGCTGCCAAGTTCAATGTTCCCGTGACAAATTACGGGGTTTTGTTGTATACGGGGAGTAAATATGGGTGGTTTAGTCATAGCAATTAGCTGGCGCAACTTGGAATTGGATATCTTTTGCAAGCAATTCATTTTATACCTGGAAATGTGTGAGGGGTTGGGTTAGAGGAATGGAGTGAAAGGAACGGGGTGAGCAAATCTTGACCACAGCTACGGCACACGGGTGGACTCAGTAATAATGAAATGTGTGGATTAAAAGTACATAAGCTAATTCTAGCCGGACAAATACCAATGTAGACTAACAGATGTGCTGCTGTGAGAAATAACGGGTATGCATGACAAGGTGTAGAAACCCCAGGCCGTCAAAATATGCCCAAGCAAATGTGCAACATCCCGTCCAGCAAAAGTCTGTCTCAGAATCCAATCAACGAAATCACCTTAAAGCCCACACACCGATCCCAGCGCCAAAGCTCCTCGCTTCAAAGCCATGTCCTTCTTCAGTAGTGAGTCTCATGGCTCGCAGGAGCAAGTTCTCACATCGTTCGGACAGCGTTCCTTGCCCGGCCTCCAACACCGCTTTCGGTGGCGGAAGCTGCTTCACCTGTTCCTTCACCCTATTCCTTCACCGACCTCTTCCTCTCTCTCCTAAAATACTCCCTATATGCCCTTTCTCTTCGTTCCCTCTCCGACCGTCTCCTCCAACCTCACCCTCGTCTCCTTTTTTCACCAGTCTCCCTATCACTGCTCCACCCCACCTCATCGAGTTGACCAGAACAACGCCGGCTTCCGTTCTTTTCCCTCCCGTACCACACCCTCCAACGCACTCACGAACCCAATTCCTATCCGGGACCCGACCGGTACCCTTTCACCACCAACCACACTCCCAGCCCAGCTCTCCCGCGCACCTCTGCCCCCACCCGAATCACTGCACCCACCACCGCCACCTCCTCCACCAGCCGAATGCCCACCACTGCCAGGGGCGCTCCTATCTGCACCCCCCCCCTCCTTCTTCCCCGCCCCAATCTTCAACAACCCAAACACCGCCTCCCACGAATCCACATTGACATGCGCGAACGCCCTGCCCTCGGTCTTTTGCTCGCGGTACCAATCCATCGTGGGCACATACGCATACCTCATATGCGTCGGGGGGGAGCCGTCGCCGCCCTCCCGGGCCCGCGCCTTCGCCAGCCGGGCCTCCTCGTACAGGCGGTTGATGCAGCGTGAGCGGAACGCGCCACCAACCTGGAACTTGCTGTTGGGGCAGCGGTGGCCGCGGGGCGGGTGGAAGATGACGCGGGTGTTGTCGTCTTCTTCGGCTCCGGCGTCTTCGTCGCCGCTGACTGAGGAGCTGTCCAGGTCCATGGGGGCGTCCTCCTCGGGCTGGTCTTGGTCAACGAAGAGGGATGGGGAGTCGGGAGTTCCTGCTTTTGTTGACGGAA